TACAACAATGTTGGCGCCAATAATGCAGGCTTACACGCCTGTTTTGGTACATGGAGCTGCAGGCAACAATCAACGGCCACAACGGTAGTCGTGTTTAGTCGCGATATCGTTCCATCGCCTCGTCTGTGGCAACACAACCACATTCACACCTGTTAACCCTCACCACAACACCTGGCTCACCACAACACCTGCTAACCCTCACACCTGTTAACACTCACACCTGCTAACTCTCACACCTGTTAACGCTCACACCAGCTAACCCTCACCACAACACCTAACACTCACCACAACACCTGTTAACCCTCACACCTGCTAACTCTCACACCTGTTAACACTCACATCTGCTAACCCTCACCACAACACCTAACACTCACCACAACACCTGTTAACACTCACCACAACACCTGTTAACACTCACACCTGTTAACACTCACACCTGTTAACACTCACACCTGTTAACACTCACACCTGCTAACCCTCACCACAACACCTAACCCTCACCACAACACCTGACCCTCACCACAACACCTAACACTCACCACAACACCTAACTCACCACAACACCTGCTTACCCTCACCCCTGTTAACCCTAACCACAACACCTAACACTCACCACAACACCTAACACTCACCACAACACCTAGCTCACCACAACACCTGCTAACCCTCACCCCTGCTAACCCTCACCACAACACCTAACACTCACCACAACACCTAACCCTCACCACAACACCTAACCCTCACCACAACACCTAACACTCACCACAACACCTAACTCACCACAACACCTGCTAACCCTCACCCCTGCTAACCCTCACCACAACACCTAACCCTCACCACAACACCTGCTAACCCTCACCACAACACCTAACACTCACCACAACACCTAACTCACCACAACACCTAACCCTCACCACAACACCTGCTAACCCTCACCACAACACCTAACCCTCACCACAACACCTGCTAACCCTCACCACAATACCTGCTAAACCTCACCACAACACCTGCTAAACCTCACAATAACACCTGCTAACCCTCACCACAACACCTAACTCACCACAACACCTGCTTACCTTCACCCCTGCTAACCCTCACCACAACACCTGCTAACCCTCACCCCTGCTAACCCTCACCACAACACCTGCTAACCCTCACCCCTGCTAACCCTCACCACAACACCTGCTAACCCTCACCCCTGCTAACCCTCACCACAACACCTGTTAACCCTCACCACAACACCTGCTAAACCTCACCACAACACCTGCTAACCCTCACCACAACACCGAACTCACCACAACACCTGCTTACCTTCACCCCTGCTAACCCTCACCACAACACCTGCTAACCATCACCCCTGCTAACCCTCACCCCTGCTAACCCTCACCACAACACCTAACCCTCACCCCTGCTAACCCTCACCACAACAACTGCTATTCCTCACCCCTGTTAGCCCTCACCACAACACCTGCTAACCCTCACCCCTGCTAACCCTCACCCCTGCTAACCCTCGCCACAACACCTAACCCTCACCACAACACCTGCTAACCCTAAACCCTGCTAACCCTCACCACAACACCTGCTAACCCCTGCTAACCCTCACCACAACACCTGCTAACCCTCACCCCTGCTAACCCTCACCACAACACCTGCTAAACCTCACCACAACACCTGCTAACCCTCACCCCTGCTAACCCTCACCACAACAACTGCTATTCCTCACCCTCACACATGCTAACCTTGACCACAACTACCACACCTGCTAACTCTCACCACAGCCACTCTCACCACAACACAACCACCACCACACCTGCTAACCCTTACCACAACACAACCACCACCACAACTAACTTACCACAACACAACCACCGCCAAACCTCACTCTCACCACAACCACCACCACACCTCACTCTCACCACAACACAACCACCACCACACCCCACTCTCACCACAACACAACCACCACCACACCTCACTCTCACCACAACACAACCACCACCACACCTGCTAACTCTCACCACAACACAACGACAACACCTGCTAACCCTCACCACAACCACTCTCACCACAACACAACCACCACCACACCTCACTCTCACCACAACACAACCGCCACCACACCTGCTAACCCTTACCACAACACAACCACCACCACAACTAACTCACCACAACACAACCACCACCACACCCACTCTCACCACAACACAACCACCACCACACCTCACTCTCACAACACAGCCACCACACCTGCTAACTCTCACCACAACACAACGACAACACCTGCTAACCCTCACCACAACCACTCTCACCACAACACAACCAGCACCACCGATAACCTCGACAGGTGGCAGAGCGGCTCCGTCTCTCTCAACAACAACCACCACCAACACGACAACCGTCACAACCACCACTAACACGACAACAACCACCAGAACCACCACCAACAACCACCAGAACCACCACCAACACAACCATCAGAACCACCAACAACACAACCACCAACACGACAACCATCACAACCACCACAACAACCACCAACACGACAACCATCACAACAACCACTACCAACACGACAACCATCTCAACAACCACCACAACAACCACCAACACAACCACCACCAACACAACAACCAGCAACACAACCATCACAACAACCACCAACACGACAACCATCACAACCACCACCAACACGACAACCATCACAACCACCAACACAACCATCACAACAACCACAACACAACCATCACAACAACCACAACAACCACCACCAACACAACCATCACTACAACCACAACAACCACCACCAACACAACCATCACTACAACAACCACCAACACGACAACCATCTCAACAACCACAACAACAACCACAACAACCACCACAACAACCACCAACACGACCATCACAAAAGCCACAACAACCACCAACAACAACCACCATTCGTCACTAAGTGGCGGTGACGTCACCACGACGCTTGTGCCAGGCCATGTGCACCTTGAGGCCACGTGAAGTGTCGAACGCCCGCTGGCAGGAGGTCACGGGGTAGACCCAGGTGCCATGCGTCGACTTACTGAGATGACTGGCTGGTGCACCACCTGTGCCCCCTACTGTGCCAACCTGCTGTGCTTTAGTCACCCGGCGCTCCGCTCGTTGTTGTGAGCGTCGCTCCTCCGCCCTCCGTTGTTGTTGGAGGGCGACTGCCTCCAACTGCCCAGTAGCGCCCTTCACGAGCCTCCTCCACAGAGGCCGATCTTGACACCGCTGGTACCAGTCATCGGCAAGTCCACTCAGCTCCACGTCCTCCCGTACCACATCACTCCATCTCTTCTCTAGCCCGTGCCGCGCCCGTTTAGCCCCCTCGATCCGGGCGAACAAAAGCTGTTTCGGCATGTGGTGGCTGGGCATGCGGGCTACATGACCCAACCATCGCAGCCTTGCCTGCCTTAGGAGCTCACCGATGGGACCGTGCCCAGATCAACCACCAACACAACCATCGAGACAAACATCACAACAACCACCACCAACACAACCATCACGACAACCACCACCAATACAACCACCACCAACACAACCATCACGATAACCACCACCAACACAACCACCACCAACACAACCATCACAACAGCCACCACCAACACAACCATCACAACAACCACCACCAACACAACCACCACCAACACAACCACCACCACCAACACAACCACCACCAACACAACCACCACCAACACAACGACCACAAACACAACCACCACCAACACAACCACCACCAACACAACCATCACGACAACCACCACCAATACAACCACCACCAACACAACCATCACGATAACCACCACCAACACAACCACCACCAACACAACCATCACAACAGCCACCACCAACACAACCATCACAACAACCACCACCAACACAACCACCACCAACACAACCACCACCAACACAACCACCACCAACACAACGACCACAAACACAACCACCACCAACACAACCACCACCAACACAACCACCACCAACACAACCACCACCAACACAACCACCACCAACACAACCACCACCAACACAACCATCACAACCACAACAACCACAACCACCACCAACACAACCATCACGACAACCACCAACACAACCACCACCAACACAACCGCCATTGGCCGCGAAGTGACGGTGACGTCACCGCGGCGCCCCGTGCCAGGCTGGGTGCACTTGAGGGCCACGTGCAGTGCCGAGTGCTGACAGGAGGTCACGGGACAGACCCCAGGAGATGCCACGGGGTTGGTTGGCTGAGATGACTGGCAGATGCACTAAGCTGTATCATCAACACCACCACAACAACCACCACCAACAACAACCACGACAGTGGTGGTGGTGGTGGCAGAGCAGCCCCGTCTCCCCCTCCCCCCTTTTTACTTCACAACTCAACAACAAAAGCCAAAGGGCACCACCACCACCAACAACCACCACCAACAACAACCACCACCACCACCACCAACCACCACCACCAACAACCACCACCAACAACCACCACCACCAACAACCACCACCACCAACAACCACCACCACCACCAACAACAACCACCAACAACCACCACCACCAACAACCACCACCACCAACAACCACCACCAACAACCACCACCACCACCAACAACAACCACCACCAACAACAACCACCACCACCACCAACAACAACCACCACCAACAACAACCACCACCACCAACAACCACCACCACCAACAACAACCACCACCACCAACGCGGGCCTCGACACATTAAGCGTCCACCCCCCCCCCACCTCGTCCACCTCAAAACAAACCCACTACCCCAACAACAACAACCAACAACAACAACCACAACAACAACCCCAAGCGAGCGCCACGACCACGTCAGGGGGACTCCGTACCCCCCTACCGCCACCGCGCCGCCGTCTTTTGCTGCGGCGCAGTCGAGGAAGGGGGTGGGTGGGTGGGGTGTGGGTGGGAGAGCCGAGCAAGCAACACGCAACCTGTTCGCTAGACTTCTTCCTCCTCCTCCTCGTCCTCCTCCTCACTCACTCCTCCTCGGCCCTCGGCTTCAGTGCGACATCTTCACCATCATCATCAGCATCATCACATTCTTCAACCACTGCTGCTGCTGCTACTACCACAGTCACCGCCGCTGCTGCCGCTGCTGCTGCCCCCAAAGCGACCCCCGCGCGCAATGCGAGACGGGCCAGGGGCATCTCCCGGCGTGCCCCGCGCGAGCGCCGCTTGTCGACTTCCCGTAGGCTCGCCTCAGACCGGTGGGGCAAGGCGTGGGTAGCTCCGCCCCCTCGCCCTCGCCCCACCCCCCATCAACCCCCCCCCCCCCATGAACACCACCAAACCCCCCCCCCCACCAACACCCCCCCCCCCACCAACACCCCCCCCCCACCAAACCCCCCCCACCAAACCCCCCCCCACCCACCAACTCCCCCCCCCATCAACACCCCCCAAACCCCTCCCCCAGCTACTGTACTTCCGGCAAAACCGAAAGTCAAATCGATTCGACCGGAAGTTGAGTCGTTCGAATCGATTCTCCGTGATAATCGATAACGTAGCGTTGGTTCAATACGTGACGGGTGTGTTTCGGAATCGATTTCCGCGACGTTGATTTTAGGAGTTCTGAATCTTAGCCGTTGTCGATTCCTATACGCTTTGCGTATCGTATCGCGATATATCGTAATATATATTAAAATATATTATATATAATATTATATCGTAATATATCGCGATACACCACAAGAGAGATATCGCGATACGATAATCGTATTTAACACGTCGGCTTTCGCAACCAATATCATCCATAAAAGAGTTTTTTTGTGTTAGATCGCGTAAATTTATAAATGTTGTGTCGTTAAAACCCGCCACCACCCGACACAGCCAACTAGTAAGGGCTGTCACGTAAACAGAACGTGGCCAATTCGTCACTAGTACAGCACTAGTGTATAGTGTAGTGTATAGTGTAGTGTATAGTAGTGTAGTGTATAGTGTAGTGTATAGCAGTGTAGTGTATAGTGTATAGCGGTGTAGTGTAGTGTATAGAGTAGTATATAGTAGTGTAGTGTATAGTAGTGTAGTGTATAGTGTAGTATATAGTAGTGTAGTGTATAGTGTAGTGTACAGTGTAGTGTATAGTGTAGTGTATAGTGGAGTGTATAGTGTAGTGTATCGTGTAGTGTATAGTGTAGTGTATAGTAGTGTAGTGTATAGCAGTGTGGTGTATAGTAGTGAAGTGTATAGTAGTGGAGTGTATAGTGTGTATAGTAGTGTAGTGTATAGTGTAGTGTATAGCAGTGTAGTGTATAGCGGTGTAGTGTATAGTGTAGTATATAGTAGTGTAGTGTATAGTGTAGTGTACAGTGTAGTGTATAGTGTAGTGTATAGTGGAGTGTATAGTGTAGTGTATCGTGTAGTGTATAGTGTAGTGTATAGTAGTGTAGTGTATAGCAGTGTAGTGTATAGTAGTGAAGTGTATAGTAGTGGAGTGTATAGTGTGTATAGTAGTGTAGTGTATAGTGTAGTGTATAGTAGTGTAGTGTATAGTGTAGTATATAGTAGTGTAGTGTATAGTGTAGTGTACAGTGTAGTGTATAGTGTAGTGTATAGTGGAGTGTATAGTGTAGTGTATCGTGTAGTGTATAGTGTAGTGTATAGTAGTGTAGTGTATAGCAGTGTAGTGTATAGTAGTGAAGTGTATAGTAGTGGAGTGTATAGTGTGTATAGTAGTGTAGTGTATAGTGTAGTGTAGTGTATAGTAGTGTATAGTGTAGTGTATTGTATAGTGTAGTGTATAGTGTAGTGTATAGTAGTGTAGTTTATAATGTAGTGTTTAGTGTAGTGTATAGTATTTAATAGTGTATAGTAGTGTAATGTATAGTGTATACTAGTACAGCACACCGGTGTGTTGAAGAGCCAAGCCACAACATTTACAATCTGAGTACGACGTTTCGCCAGTAATTACAACTAGCTTCATCAGGTGACAGCCAGATTTGTGGAGAAGTCTTAACTAATAATAGGGTGTTTCTCCTTTTTTTCTGGCAACAAAACTGAAACCTTTTTACAAGGAATCATGTCTGCATTAACCACAATACTTGTGGTCAAAATGCAAACAAAAAACACTGATAATAAATGCATTGTCCTTGAAACTGATTGGTCCACACCAGAGACGGCTTTCTTTTGAGCCTCGTAAAAGAAAGCCGTCTCTGGTGTGGACCAATCAGGTTCAAGGACAATGGCATATATTATCAGAGTATGTTTTTTTTATTTTGTATTTTGACCACAAGTTATTGTGGTTAATGCACACATGATTCCTTGTAAAAAGGTTTCAGTTTTGTTGCCAGAAAAAAGGGGGGAAACCCTATTATTATATTTTGGTACTGGCAAGGAGGTCTAATGATGAAGTGTTAACTGTTTCGTTCCTTATTTCGAGGCGTAGATGAGTTGACCACGCTTCCGCGCTCTTGCACAATGTGGGGGGGGGGGGCGGGGGGGATTACTGAGGCAACGTACATTATGGATGTGCATTTACGCGAGCCCTTTGAACTTGTCCTTCCTGTGTATTGTGTTTATTAAAATAGCCGTGCCAACGGTAATCCCTATTGAAGTACGCTGCCCTTTGTAGGCACGCATTTAAATAATGTATTTTTTATGATTCGCTTCCACGCAGCACTAAGGCGGTAGCTATCCGAACGGTTAAACTATTAGATTTCTTTCAATTTCGAGAGATTCTCTAATTAGTCTTGGCCAGTAGTAGCTACTTTTGCACAAAACTTCAATATTATCAAAATTCAGTTTCAGTTTTCAGTTTATTTATTTTGGTATAGCCCTGTGAGCCATTCGGCTCTTGAATCGGGTGCAACCGCAACAAACAAAAAAAAACAAAAACACGAACAAGAAAAACGTCTTAAAGTGACTATGTGACTGTGCAAACAGAAAATCCATGAAAAAACAGCAAAATATTCTTGAAAAAAGCACCGTACACCAACGCTGTGTGCAAAAAATCCCAGTGGGATGCAAGTCAAACAACAACCACAAGAAAACTTAGGTTAAGGCCATCAGTCTAACTCCGTACTACACCAAAACAAACATGTCCAAACCAAAATTTTTTTCCAAATCACCAAAAAATAAAGCCATAATTGCAACGTAACAGTGATCACAGGGACTGTGACCGAATTTTTACAATATACTACATAAATAACATGTAACACAAAATCCTAGAGCCATAGCTGGCTGCATGAATCACTCCACAACAACAGAAGCATCAGTCGGAGTATCACATTTTTCAATGCACCTGTAAGATCAGCACGCTAAATCAAAACACAGATAATACTTTGCAGCGTCATCCGGAGCGAAACATTTTATTTTATTTTACGCCAAAGAATAGCAGTGGCAGCTAGGGGTGTACAACTCCTCTAGAGCAGTTTTGAGAGAAGATCTCATTGGTAGCGATTCAAGTTGCAGTTTATTGGCAATAGCATTCCAGACCCTGGGGGCATCAATAGCAAAGGCCCTTGCTCCAGTTTTTGTACGGCAATAGGGAATGTGAAGCTAGTAAATGATCGAAGACCTGAGGTCAAATGTGTTCTTTGAAACAGAGAGGAGATCCAGCAGGTAGTCTGCGGATTTGTTTGTAAGTACATCGTGAATAAATAAGATCTGATGCACAAGCCGTCGAACATTAAGAGATGTTAAGTTTGACCCAATATAGAGATCACAGTGGTGAGCCCTATATGGGCAGTTCAATGTAAATCTTAAGGCCTAGTGATAGATCGAATCAAGCTTCTTCAGTACAGTACTTGACTACTGTGACACGATGTCACAGTAGTCAAGCAGAGGCAGTATGGTAGCTTTTATCAATTCCAAACGGAACATTGGGGGGAAGCAATGCTTGCGTCGATACAGAAAACCAATTTTTATTTTTGTCTTTTAACCAATATAATCAATTTGATCTTCATAATTCAGTTTTGAATCCAGGATGACCCCAAGATACCTATAGATCTTGACTTGCTTTATTTGATAATCATTTAAGGAATGTAATTGGGGAAAAATAACCTCCTGCTTTAGTCCTGGTGAGAAGCATAGCACCGTAATTTTGGAGGTATTCAGGACTAGTTAAGAGCAACTAGCTGATGTTGTAGTTTGTTGAAATCACCCTGTAGCTTAGCAATCACGTCATCCGGAGAGCGGCCAGCAGTAATCAGTATCGTGTCATCTGCAAAAAGATTTACCCTGGAATGATCCAGGTCAGTGCCCAAGTCATTGACATAAAGAGAGAACAAAAGGGGGCCGAGGATGGAACCCTGTGGAACCCCTTTTGTTATCTTAACACTGTTTGACCTCCAACCATCTGTGAATACAGTTTGGGTGTGAGAAAAGAGATAATTTTGCAACCATTTTACTGCGTTTTCAGAAAAACCGAGGCAACTTAGTTTACTAAGCAGGGTGTTGTGGTTTACTGTATGAAAAGCTTTGGACAGGTCTAGAAAAAGACAGGCACAGTACTGATTATTATCAAGGCTACTGCAAATGTGATTCAGAGAGTCTAATGCAGCAGATGTGGTGCTGTATTTTTTTCGGAACCCAGATTTTTTAGATGTAGTAGATTGTTGGTGGACAGGAAACTGCTCATTTGGTAGGTCAATAATTTTCAAAAATTTTCATAAATGGGGACAAAATTGAGATAGGTCGGTAGTTATTTGGATAATCTTTAGGGCCCCCTTTGTGAAGTGGACGTACATAGGAATGTTTCCATTCTAGAGGAACTGATGCTTCTTTGATGAAAGGTTGAAAATATGGGCTATAGGTTTGTATATTGGGTGACCAACAGTTAGTAGAGCAAAGATGGGAAAACTATCTGCTCCGGTAGAGGAGGACCCTTTGAGGTAGGACAGCTGTTTCAGAACATTACTTTCATGGATTGGCTGGAAACTAAATTCGTTTAATGTTTGGACAGGGGTGTAGGAATTTGCATGAGCAGGGGTGATTCCCAATACATTATCAAAAATATTATCAGCTTCAGAAAAATGAAGGTTAAAATTGTCAACTATTTTTTTGGGATCTGAAAAATATTCCCCATTTTTGTTAAGCTCAACGGGCAGATTGTCTGTTTTGGATGCCTTTTCGATACATTTGATTGTTTTCCAGAAAATCCTGGCATTTCCATGTGATTCCAGGAGAGTGGAGGAAAAGTAGGCATTTTTTGCATGCCGTATTTTTTTTACGCATCTATTCCTTAAAATCCTGTATTCTAGCCAGTCAT